CCCCCCCTGTTGATTGCGGATGTTGCTCAATTGTTTTGCAAACCTAGTGGATGCCCGCGCGCGCGCGGTCAGAGAGAATTTTGGAAAGAGCAAGGGCGTGGATTTCTACAGGGTTGTGCTTCTGGAAAGGTTTGGTTGGAGCTGTGCTGGTGTGCTTAACCTGCGCATCTTTGTTGTAAGTAAGACAGTTGGCTGTGCTCGTTGCATTCGCCATCTCTATCGCCCGGCGAATGTTGTGTTGTAATCTGCAGGCAACCAGTCCAACTCACCAGTTTTCTGTGGCCCTTCTAATTGTCCGTCATGTGTATAGCTTGCAGAGCTTGTGTTTTGCAGAGTTTTGCTTTGTTTTAGCTCTTGCTGTGCTGCGTCAGCTGGCCCAGGGTGGTAGGTAAGTGTTTGATGCAGAGGGATGTTTTGCAGGAGCTTCGAAGCGTGAGACGTGCCATCAAATGTGAGCAGCGGAGGGGCAGCCGTGCGCGCCAAGCAGAGCGCTTGTGCGGATTGACGCCTCGAATGGTGCGCGAGGTCCTGGCAGTGTATGTGCTGAGCCAGTATGATCAGGACTGCGCGGTTGAATTTGCAATGCGATCCTCGAAGAAGCGAAAGCAGAGCTGGGGTGCTGTGGACAAGTCGCCCTATCCCATCCGTCAATGGTTTCTGGATGCTGACATGGACACGGTTGTTGGTGTTTTGGTGCCGGAGACATGTGAAGACCGTTCTATACGAAGTGAAGCCGTCAAGTTTTTGGCAGAGAGGCGCACTGCTTTCTGGGTAGCCTCGCAGAATTTCCGGGCAGGTCAAGCGCCCACAGGGTGCCATCTCGTGGACCGGTATTGCGCAGAGCTCCGACGCTTTGGTTTGGAAGCCCGCTTCACAGTAGACCCGCCTCGCGCAGGACGTGGGGTCAGGTTGGGCAGAATGGCTCGGAAATGGTGCCAATCTATGAAAAAAAGTGGGGCTTGAAACGAGGCAGCATGCAGGAGGCGGAGCCTTTGACTCACGCGCAGGTGGTGCCCAAGGCAGGGAATTCAAAAGGCCAAAGGGAGAAGCCACTTTTGGCTTCAGATTTGGGTCCTGGGTTTAATTAGCCGGAAAGATGCGAAGCCAAAAATGGGTTCAATTTCCGAGCACGTTTTTGGCTTCAAAAAAGATTGCACTTTTTGACAACCTTCGGCCCTGGTAGGTGAAAACGTTTTGGCATTGGATCGACTACTTGGCGCAAGAATCTGCCGCTGCTGGCAAGAGCCCATGTTTCATCAATTTGGATGAGACAAGCTTGCCACGCTTTATGAAGAGACCTGCTGGTTTCATTGCGCCGAGGCGATTGTGGCTTGGAAAGCTTGCTCCACGTCGACCACTTCCAAAGGGCCAACGGAGAGGTGCTGTGACCCATGTGGCCATGATTGCAAACTTAGAACGCGTTCAACCAAAGTTGCCACAAATCTTCTTGTGCAACGAGCGTGTGGTCCCAGCTTGGGCCTTGAAATCTTCAGACTTGTGCAAGCCCAACACTGTTGAGTTTTGGCGTGAAAAGTCTGGGTGGAACAACGTGGCCAAAATGAAACGCATTTTAGAGAAAATTGCGGGCGCAATGGTTGAGTTTGCAGACCTCCAGCCAATTGTGCTTCTGGATTGTGCACCTTGTCACATACACCCAGAAGTTGCAGCTGTTGCAGAGGAATTGGGGCTGTGGCTGGCGGTGACGCCAGCAAAGCTCACATTTTTGTTGCAGCCCTTGGATGTCTTTGCCTTTTCACCGTACAAATCGTGCTTGGCCAAGTTGTTTGCTGCGCGCGAGAAGCCAGACGGTGAGCTGGGAGTTGCGGAGTGGATGCAATGCTTGTGTGACGCAGCGCGCAAATTCTGGTGTTCCAGAAAATGGCGCCCTGCTTTTGAACTCACTGGAATTCTCTCGACGCGGCAGGCCCTGAGCCTGGAGCTCCAACATTTGAACGTGTCCCGGCATGCTGCTGCCCCGCTGTTGCCTCCAAGCCAAGAGAGCGTGGAAGCTATTTTCCCGAAGGGTAAGGTTGTACCATATGTTTCACTTTTCTGGTCGCCTGCCAATTTAGACCCTCCACTACTCACTTGATCTGCCGCAAAAAGGAGATTCTTATTGCTAGCGTGACAGATTCTTTGTGCGTTGACTTACCTGCTTCTAGAAGTCAAAAGTTTCAGTCAACTGGGGGGGCACCCTGGCAGGTCTACAAAAGCGAGCAATTTTTCGAAGCAGCTTCTGGCTTCGAACTGTCGCTCTTTTTGTGTCCCAACATTCTCATGGAGGGCGCCGCTGCTCGCGCTGAAGAAGGGCCACTTGCTAGCTTTCCTGTCAACCCGGACATTGTGGCTCCGGAACCTGCTGCTGCTCCTTCTGCTTTCTCAATTGCTGCCAGCGAAGCTGGTGAAGCGCCCAATGCCCCTGCCGCTGCTGATGATTCAGATGAAAGCGATGAAGAAGTTGTTGGGGACATGGGTCCTGCGGATTTGGCTCCTGCCGCTGCTGATGCCGGTGACATGGCTGCTGCTGCTCCAGCTGCGCCAATCCTCCCAGCTCCAGCTCCTGCTCCAGCTGCGCCAGCCCTCCCAGTTCCAGCTCCTGGTCCAGCTCATGGCCTCCCAGCTGTGGTTGATTTGGACGCGCTCAAGATGCGCCGCGCCAGCCTGAAACGCGACCTCAAAGAGTGTGCAAAGAGGGTCAAACGCGAGGAGACTTGTTGAAATGATATCCAAATGCATGCGTCGAACTTTTGCAATTTTGCATGGCCAATCGTTCCTGCAAACCATACCGCATGACAGGAGCAGAAACGCAGGCGCTTGCTCAAGAAAGCTGGCAATCTTGCGGACGCGGACCTTTTGTGGCTCTTACAGAGACGCCAGCAGGGTTGAGGTGGCAAGTTTTCATGTGGGTCAGAACTCTATACTGAACAGAAGAGACACTGACCGTCGCGCGGGCGACAGCATCAGGCCTACACGAAGAATTCGTCAGTAGAGCGGAGACGTTGTGTAGAAACTGAAAAGCCCAGCAAAAACAGGAATGCTTCTTCACCTAGCACACTTGTGGCAACGGTTCATGTTTGTTCCTCATACACACTGCATGCGTCGTGCCCGCTGAGGCCACAGGTGGCGTGTGCGTCATGGCTGACGCTGGGCTCCCAGCAAGGGTGAGGGTACAGGGTGAGCGTTTTCCCAAGAGGGCGTCGTGCCCAAAATGTCTTGTGTTTGAGTCTGAATGCAACCGTGGTTCGTGAAGGCCTTAGCCGGCTGGCTAACTAAACTCTGCCCGTTTTTTTCCGGACAGTTTTCCTGGGAGTCTGAACGCGATGAATGCACTGATGGAGAAACGTTGGATTCGAGGAGAGAGGAGAGAAAAGGCAGTCGACTGCCTGGCTCTTGCTTGCGAGTAGCGCCGCGTTTGTCGGAGCAGGCCCCAAAGAGAGTAGCGCCTCTGCGGCTGTGGGAAGGCCGCGACCGAGCAGAGCAGGACATGGTTCGGGCAAATTGCCAGCGTAGGTCTGTAGCGACATTTTGACCAACCTGCAAAAGTGCCTTCTGCGCCTGCACTTTGCTCTTGTTTTCGGGACTTGATGTTTACAGAGACTTGGAACGTGCTTGGAAGCTGTGGAAAGCAGGTTTTGTTTCTTTAACACATTTCATTAGCCAAAACGCATTGCCATTTTGGCCCAAGCTTGATCCCAAGTCAAAAACCCTGCCCACCATTCTCATGGCCTGCGTCAGTGAATAAGTCTGCGACGGTAACCGTGGTTCGTGAAGGCCTTAGCCGGCTGGCTAACTAAACTCTGCCCGTTTTTTCCGGACAGTTTTCCTGGGAGTCTGAACGCGATGCGTGCAATGATGGAGAAACGATCCAGACGTTTGGATTCGAGGAGAGAGGAGAGAGGAGAGAGGAGAGAGGAGAGAGGAGAGAAAAGGGAAGCTGACTGCCTGGCTCTTGCTTGCGAGGAGCGCCGCGTTTGTCGGAGCAGGTCCCAAAAGAGCAGCGCCTCTGCGCCGCAAGAAGAATTCTGAAACGTTGCTCGCGGGAAGGCCGCGACCGAGCAGAGCAGGACATGGTTAGGGCAAATTGCTAGCGTAGGTCTGTAGAGACATTTTAACCAACCTGCAAAAATGCCTTCTGCGCCTGCACTTTTCTCTTGTTTTCGGGACTTGATGTTTAAAGAGACTTGGAATGTGCTTGGAACCTGTGGAAAGCAGGTTTTGTTTCTTTAACACATTTCATTAGCCAAAATGCATTGCCATTTTGGCCCAAGCTTGATCCCAAGTCAAAAACCCTACCCACCATTCTCTGGGCCGGTCTGTGATTTACAGAGATCTGGCCTGCGTCAGTGAATAAGTCTGCGACGGTGGCTTTTGCCCCCTCGCTTCTCATCGTAGACACTTCTGCCACCGGACCCCTTGGCACCTGGCACGATTTTTTGTAGACGGGAGAGGTCTGACACCAACAGAGTGGCTTTTCATTAGAACCCACCACCACCACCACCTTTCCCTCAAGTAGGGCGTCGATATTGACAGTTGCCCTAACTTGCGTTTATCGCTGTGTAGTTACTCTGTCTTGAGCCGCGTCGGAAAGGACTTTGACATTTTGAGTGGTGTGCCCGGGCCTCACTTGGCACTTTTCGCAGACAAGTCGTCAGCCTCCAGTTTTGACAGCTTCAGCACTGCAGTCAGTCAGTGTTTTGTTTTTGCATCTTCAGCTACAGGCTCTTTTACTAGCAACCTCATAGACGGAGTTTATCTTAGAAGTCTGTACACTTCTCAGAAGATGGAAGGAACCAGCGTGATTCCGCGTCGCAAGCCTTGTGCATGTAAGGTGTCTCTCCTGAACCGCCCCTGACTTTTGCGGAGGCCAGGTGTGGTGGCAATGGCAAGTGGGCAACCCCTTCACCCCCGTAGACTCTTAGCGTGGGAAGTGGAGTGACTGGTGTCACGTAGCCGCAGTGGAGAATTTGCGTGCGCGAGAGCGCGGAGTAGTATTCACACTAGCTTTGCTGACAAACAACAGTGTATTCTTATTCCGGGCGAAATTACTCCGCGCTCATTTCCATTGGGGAGAGAAAAGTCGCGTACTCTGCACGTGTTCCATTTGCTGTTTTTTGCGGCAGTTTGTGGCTGTTCAAGTTAGTTTTTTGGACGCGAAGCATGGTAGCTTCTCTAGCTCTTTTGGCAAAGCGGGCCTTGGTGTCCCTTTTGCTAGCGCTGGCTAGGCAGTACAATGTGTCGGCGATGGTCAAACGAGACAGCTCTGACCAAGACGTGGAAAAGGCTTTCCGCAGAGTCGTGAAGAAAGTCCATCCTGACAAAGGTGGGGAAGTTGCGCATGCTCAGCGCTTGCAAGATGCTCGAGAAAAATGGTTGCTAGCCAAAAAGAAGGCGCAGAGTGGGTGCTAGACTTGATCTGTAAGATCATGACGCTTTATAACTTGCTAGGG